AAACGACAGGCCCGTTCCAAGCCCCAGGACGGGAGCTGCACACCACCTTTTATCACTCTGCCCCCTCTCCCCAGGCTCGGCCTTTCCCTCCTTCCCTTTCCCGTGCTACAGCTGGCACTGTTGCTAACCAGAAGCCCAGCCAGCAATTAGGAACCACCTGGTGCCGAACACCTCGAAGCTTTGAAAGGCATCTTGCGAGGGATTACACCTTAGTCTTCAACACTTCAACACTTTATTCCTTCTCCCTGCAGGCTGGTCACCTTTCCCCCCCCCTTCCCCCTGTCTACAGCTCTGTTCTCCTCAGAAGCACACAACCTCGGTGGTTCAAAGCAGAGCATCCGTACCACTACAGGTTCAGAGGGGAAGGTGGGGAAGGCAGAGAGGTGAAGCACTACCTGACCCTCTCCTTCAGTCGGCAGACTGTGATACTGCCTTCCCTTATCGCTAGCGGGATCTCTCCCTGGAGCAGCTCAGCACAGGAAAGGGAGACAGGTCCCTGCACAAGGGAGAAAATGAAGCATAATTCCTGTCCTTCCCCCTCCCTCCCTGGCAGCATAAAGATTTCAGCAGAAACCAAAAACTGCAACAGGTTAAGTAACACTCTACTTGAACAGCAGCACCTGACCAAAATTGATTAATGTTAGGACTAGTTCTAGTAAACTACAGAAATGCTATGCTCCTTATTAGAGACAAATTAAACTTTTAAAGCTATTATTGTTCAGGTAATTAGTGGAAATAATCAGTAATCTGTTTAGAGATGCTACCATTACCCTTTATAGTAAACAAAACCATTTCAGAGTAAGGTAATGCTGACCAAAAAAACCCCAAGCCAAAAAAAAAAACAAACCAACCCCCACACCACAACAAACACACCAGAAGGCAGAACCTAAGTCTCAGCATTAACCAAAAGAAGAGAACAAGTTACTTCATCAGTTATATGCCTTTATAGTCTAGAGGCATCTTCTGAAAATTGGGTATTCAAGTTTGGAGTCAGCTTTTAATTGAGAGGAAAGCTAAGGTTGACTAAAAATTTTAAAGCCTCACTTGTAAAGGTGATATTTAACTTTTTTTAAAAATACTGGGAAGATAACATGGCTTTTTAAAATTTGCTCTATAGACTTTTGTTGAAGTGTCTTACCCTCCAACAGAAACAATAGTGTTACAGTTTGACCTTTTTCATTTTATTAGCACAAAATCATGTAGAGAGTGAAGACAAGAAGAGGAACATACACATATACTTAGACCATGGAAAACTCACTACACACATGGGAATGATTTCTTCCTTTCTGTGATCTTGCCAATTACTTCTCCTCTCACCTTGAGTACCAGAACACTGTGATAGAGCTTGCAAGCTACAAAACACAATCTTAAAAGCCCGCAGCAGTTCCTTAGGAAAAAAAACCCCACAAACGTGCAGTTCCGTTACCTAAAAGGGGCTCAGCCTAGGTCCAGAACTACAATTGCTGTTAAGAGAACTGACCTAGAGCACTTGAATTCCAAGTCTCCTGCTTACTGTGGTAACTTTTGGAGGAGATCCTTTATGTATTTAGTATCATACCACATCTTTAAAACAAAGGAAGAACATTTACACAGTATGTGCGTACACCTTAATGTTAATGCATGTGTATTCATTTTTACATAGATCAATGAAAATCCATTCTATAAGCACAGAAGCAATCCTGTGGTTATTTCTGACCACATAAATACATCGGTTGCAGAGATCGCTTACAGTTACAGATCTTCTTGCAGAAACTTTTATAGCGGCACTTGTATAGTCAGTTGGTCCAGTGGCTTCGCAACACCTATACACACATAGGGACAGGTAAAAAGAGGCAAGATCTTTACAGGCCAGTAGCTGAGCTTACTGCATAGCAAGGCTGATGTACAGAATGACATCTGCAGTAATAATACCAATACCAATAAATTAGATTAAAACAATTCAGATATACCTCCCATAGTATGAAAGCCAGCATTCACAAAATCAGAAAAAAATACTATTCTATTCAGATTGCATGGTGACAAATAAGAAAGTGTTTGCCACGGTACAGAATCAACGCACTTTCAACGTCCACTATTGTTAGTAGGTTGTGGCACACTGATATTTAATTGCCGTGCAAAGATAACGCCCTCATTTTCCTAGGAATTGTCTTGATTATCAGTCAGAGGGTAGAGAGAGATCCACCATCAAAGGTCAGTAACTTTGTCATTTCTTCGCTTGGGAATAGCTGAAAGCGGTTGCTTTATTCCAACAAATGGCAGACATTTCAGTTTAGTTAGCCATGCAGTTGTTTTGTGAATGGGATTAATCACACAGATTTATGACATCCATTTTTGCAAAGGAGAGCAGGTAGTTTATTTCTGGTTTTAATACTTCCCTTCCATCAAAGGGGGCATACCAAGAAGCGTGGTCTGAAAGCAAAGTATCATGATCTCTTAAAATGGAGCTCCAGGTCAGCTCTCCAAACAAACATAGAATCGCTAGAACAGAGCTCTACCTTGCATCCACTTAACAAGTACAGAATTCATGAGAATACTCTGAGCACACCGGCAAGAGCAAGAACTACTTTATGGAATGATTTGTGAGACCAGCCTCACCAAACAAAAAGCCTGACCTTCACAAACCTAAATAACAACACCACCTGTTTTTTCTTTTTCCCTGTGACAAAAGGGTAACCTTAAGCAAAAGTGGATATTCTACGTATTTTTAAAAAAAAAAAAAAAAAAAAAAAAAAAAAGAGTTGAGCAAGTGACTATTCAGTGTTTCACACAAAACTCAACTCCATCGTTTGTAAGTTTTGACCGGGCAATCAGTCAGAGACAGACTGTTAAAATAGGACTCCAAACTGAAAAACCACTGCACTTGCAATAAAGCTGGTTTCAAACTGGCTTTTCTAACTCCACTGGCCTCAAAGTATTTTTACAGTAGTTTCAGTTGTCCAACATGAGTTACAAGCTGCTGTTCCACAGTTACCGCCACTCTTCTCCTGTGAAACATACTTCAGGCTTTCAGACTACTCTTCTCTTGTTCCACAAAACTTTGGAGTGAAGAGCTGACAAGTCTATCCAACGTCTTCAGTTTTCCGCTAGACTGCATTCCTAGGTGTGCCATTGTGAGTCACTGCTTTCATATTTGAGGCGCTTGATTGATGGTTGCAGATTCTGTGGGAGGCAACACCTACTTCAAAGACTTCATGAATGGCTTTGCGGAAGCAATGAAAATTGTAGTCTATCAGACCTGTCAAAAAGGAGCGGGAGGGGAGAGGAAAAATTGTTCTCGGCTTGGCACATTTACGTAATCAGCAGAGCTTCAAAATAAATATAAAATGTTTCATTTAACCAACAGCTATTTTGCTACTTACTTTAGTAAGAATTTGGATTCAGAAGATTTAACAAAGCTTTACTGATGCTAGTATTTATTTAGATAGTCTCAGTTTTTAGAAAAAAAAGGTTCTCCTTTGGAATGCAAGGTATATTCATAATTAAACAGCAGGTAAAGGGACAACACAAGACTCTACTCTGCAAAACACATGCTAGTACAGCACGACCATTACTGAAATGTTATCTTGCGCTTTATGTCATTGATATATATCCTAACTGTGGTGAGATAAACTTTGAGATCAAATACAGTACAGTTCTTAAAAGAACACATCTGCTTTTTCTCTTTTTAAAATGCCAAGATAAGTACTGTCACCATTTAAGTCACATACTTTGAGATTAGGGCCTACGCTGTCATTTCTACCCCGTAACATATGCAAGACCATTCATACCATCACCTCCTACAGGTCCAAGCAGCTATATAGTTGGTTAGACCTGCAACGTATTAAACACTTTGTTCCAAGTTCCTACCACTTACTGTACTAGCCTACCACTGTTGATTTTTCCAGTCATACATTAAAAAAAAATTACATCACTGTGACCCGTGATAGAGAATGTGGCTGTTCACAATACAGCAGCTGTCAAGCAGAACATAATAAGCATTACTCCATTCTACTGATTCTACTATAGCGGATGGTAGTGATATTAAACACTTTGTTCCAAGTTCCTACCACTTACTGTACTAGCCTACCACTGTTGATTTTTCCAGTCATACATTAAAAAAAAATTACATCACTGTGACCCGTGATAGAGAATGTGGCTGTTCACAATACAGCAGCTGTCAAGCAGAACATAATAAGCATTACTCCATTCTACTGATTCTACTATAGCGGATGGTAGTGACAAAAGCCACATTAGCTACACAATCAGCAGGAGGACAGCGACCAAAGCAATAATTCAAAAGAATAAAAATAAAACCTCTTTATACCTATCTCTAGGAAAGGAGAAAATTCCTCCCAGAAGAAATTAAACAAATTTAGTTACACAAAAATTAAGGTGACTTGGAAAGCCATATTAGTATTTTATAGTTGAAACATTAGAAAACAGCTGTTCAACGGGGGGAAGTCCTTACCTTTGCGCTCAAAACTCTCTTCTCTAAGAATGCAAACTAATGCCAAAAACTTTGTTACTTCCTTTAAGTACAGGACCGTTGTGTTATTGAGCTTGATAATTGCCATTGACTCTTTATCATAAGCACTTCCAGTGCCATCTTCCTTTAACCTAAGAAAGAACGAGTTAACCCAGGACATAATCTAGCAGGCATGCATACGTAACTTTAAGACAAATACCTGTTAAATGCAGTTAGAAGAATATTGCTCGCACCAAACGGCAAGCAAGTGAAGAACCTGCAACGCAGGTAAGACTATTGTCACACCTTAAGTTTCTCAGGAAAGCTAGACCTAAACAGAGTAGAAGTCTTCACTAGATAGTATCTAAGATGAGCAGTTAAGAGCAAGCTATCGGCATGCATTCTTTTGATATCAAGCTAAGAGCTGTGGCCGTTTAGTAGATCCTGTTTTCAGCTTACAGCTGAGCATTCTTAATGGAAGTAGTATAGTACATTAGTCATAGCGTAGTTTACCTTCAAATCAAGAAGTCAGTGCTACTCGCTGCCTCACTGAGTTTACATCTCAGCAAAATTACTTTTGGTAAATTAATACAAAGGCTTCCTTGGTGGGGGGGTAAGTGCAACAGGGAGCAGGACGCTTTTTGGTCTCAAGCTAAACCAGCCTGCATTTACAAGAACAGTTTAGGACAGTGCTTTTTATCTGCAAGTTATCAGCGTTAGTTAAATCCCCATAGAAGCAAAAGATGTATCGCAAGCTACTTCTAAGCACTCACTCCTGAAATAAAAGACAAAAACAGTTACACAACCCTGAGTTTACCCATCAGCAGACAGACCATTAAACATTGTGGTATTTCTCAGCAGCACTGTATTTTCCAGGCTACAGCCACAGTTCTAAAATAAGTTACCGCTTCTCCAGAGCCACTTCAAAAACCCGTTGTAAAGTATAATTCAGCCATAAATTGTGAGAAACAAGCACTATATGCATCCCTCAGAGAAAGTCAGCAAGAGCTGTGTTGACCTCGCAAAAGCTCTTCTGTTCAGATAGCGGCAAGTCTCAAAGCAATGTTACGCTTAGGAGCTATGGCATGCTATCGACCCCAATTACTCGCAAGTATTAACATACTTGCACCCACCATGCCAGATGAGACACAGCAGTATTCATATTTTACATGAAACACTTGACTTTTACAAATGTCAGATGGCTGTCTAAGGCCATGAGTGGAAACAATGTTTGCAACCTATTCTACAACTTTTAAGGACTTTTTTTCCTAAGAGTATTCATCACTTACCCATATATACAGGAAACATCTATCACTACATCAATCATGTCGCAGCACAACTCATATGACTGCATGTCCACAGGAGAACTGTCTGTTGCAATGTAGATTTTGCTGACTACATCGAAGAGAAAAGCTTTTTCAATGCCTGAATTCTTCAGAAAGAGAAAGAATTTGGATGAATTTTTAGAATAACTGCATTTAATTCATACACTTTCACATTCTTAAGAGCAGGAAAAGGTTTAAATGTAACCACTTTAGAGGCTTAAGACAGAATCAAGATTTAGAGCATATAGTTTATAAATGCAACACCCTTGATGCCATAGTACATATTGACAGCATCTTCTAGTTATAGAATCATAGAATGGTTTGGGTTGGAAGGGACCTCACAGCCCATCCAGTCCCACCCCCTGCCATGGGCAGGGACACCCTCCACTAGCCCAGGTTGCCCAAAGCCCCATCCAACCTGGCCTTGACCACTGCCAGGGAGCCAGGGGCAGCCACAGCTTCTCTGGGCACCCTGTGCCAGGGACTCACCACCCTCATAGCAAAGAATTTCTTCCTAATGTATCTAATCTAAATCTACCCTCCTTCAGCCTAAGTTGACAAAAATAAAGCTGGGGACTCGGTTAGAGTTCTTTTTAGTTTATTATTTATCAGATCATAATTAAGGTTACATTTCACTACGTTTCCAGAACCCAAATTCAGCTGCTTTCCTCTTCTGTGGTTCTGTTAGCCTCACAAGAGCCGCACATTCACAACCAGCTGGTGGACCAGGCTCGGAGACAAGTTACTTCATAGTAGTATGCTGACACTTAAATTTTACACTTGTAGTATCTTGGCAGTTCAGTTTCTATGTGAGGCAGTTGCCGTGTAGTTTAACATGCAGAGCAAATAAAGTCAGCTTCTAAACTTATGACTCCACGAAGAGTATTGCATTATGGCAGTTACGGGTATGGAAAAGCACCAAGCCAATTGTACCATCCCATTTGTAACCGAGCACTTTGGCAAAGCGCGCGTGCTCATACTAAGTTCAGAAACTTCTGCTGCTAAGCAAGTTACCGCATACACACTATGGATTTCTGGCAAAGCTTAACTTCTATTTATGCACCAGAAATATTCCTTATCGCTTATTCCTAGCGAATCTGAATACCCAAGGCAGTGTCCCGAGGACATCCAGACGATCCTTTTGGCACCAGGGCCACGCTCTGTACCCTCATGGCACCGAGCAGGGTGAGCATTACCGCGCCCCTTATCCACTGGGCCAGGTTATTACAGACTGTCCTCTAACAACACCGGAAACAAGCATTATACAGTAGCACGGGGCAACACGCCTGACCCGCACAGCCCCTCTCAATCACAAGTGTTTTTCCCTGTGTTGCCCACCTGCCTGCAACAGCCTCGCAGACATAACTTAAATGAGACAGGCTACTTCAGCCTTGTCTCTAGGGTGGTATTTTATTTGATTTGAAGTATACAGCAGCAAATTTCTATGTCACAATTCTATAAGAAACGTAAACACTGAAAGAATAAGGGCAAACGTCTCACAGGCCACGTGAAATAGATGGTTTAGTTCAAGGCAAAGTTCATGTTACAAAAATAGTCTTTTGCCAGTACAGCTACGTTAGACTACTAAGTGCCTTAGTGGGCTAATCACTGTATCGTGCTGGCAGAAAACTTCCGTATCAACAGTTATAACCAGCCAAACTATGCTTTGTCAGTAGTTAGGGAAACACGCACAAAGCACGCACCAGTACAATTTAGCTGTGGTAAAGAGCTTCTAACGCAGACAACCAGGCCAGCAGAGTACACCAACACGAGTGCCACCCGAGTCTCCCAAGGGCAGATCTAGCCAGCGTTCCTTAGCAGAAGGACTTGCTTTACCATTCCGTGTATTTCACTCAAAGTTCTGTTATCACTTACTGATATAAAGATATTTAGTAGATTTTCCAGCGTTGGCAGTTGTGGAATGAGCTTCTGCACCACTTTACTGAAGGCTTCAAATATTGAATGGTCATATATACTGGTCAAATAAAAGCTGAGATGAGGAGGCAGGGAAAAGGAAGAAAAAAGAACAAATATTCAAGAATATTTCAGAATTACAATAGAAATGTTAAAGCTACATTTTCTAACATTGAGGGCTGATGATTTAGCTGGGATGCATTTATCACAAATATACCTGGCCACCACACCAAGAACCTTGTTTCTGAGCAACTGGACTAAATGTAAAAGAGACTTCCCCTGTCCCCAGGAGACAGGCAAACAGAGAGAAAAATTTGCACATGCTTTCACAACACACTTTGCCTACACAATACTTATCGCACAGATGTTAAACGCTCAACTAGATTTCTTCAAGTCCCATTCCTGGCCTTCCACTGTGTTCACACTAATGCAGAGAGATACTGGCAATACTTAAAGGCTCCACGAGCATCAAAATAGCAGTAAAACCAGAGAAAAGATAGCTCATTTTAAAGGCGTTGGTAAAGATACCTTAAAAGTGAGCCAAATATCAAGTAAGAGACTAAGCTTTTAGAACCAATCACACTGAAAAGTCAGTGCTAGCCAGGACTCGAAGGCAGGCAGCTTCCCCTCTCCCTCCCCTCCCCGCCCCTCCAGGCCACACGTACAAATCTGGCCCGTTATGCTAAATGAAAAATATGCAAAAGGGCCTTGAATTATCACCGAGCTTATGAATAAATCTGTTGATTGCAATCTGATACAGTAGCCTGCCTTATTTTAGTCAGCCTAACAGCTGAGGCTCGGCCACAAATTCAGCGGGGTATTTTATAACAAATAACTGCAAGCTTTGTGCACTATTAAGAAACTAACAAGGCCTTGCTCCTGTCCGTCCACTATTACATCTAAAAGCCGTTAGCCTGTATGCATATCAGCAACAGTAGAATCACATACACCAAAATCTTTAACTCACCTAAGGTGAAGTTTTTCAAGCCCAGCATCCGTAAGGTCATCGTTAGCCCTCTGATGAATATCCCTCTGAGTTTCTATTTTATGGTCATCCGATAAACCATCAACTTTATGAATAAAAACTTCAAAGTTCATTTCCGGGTTGACCTTGTAGGCTTTTGAAACTGTAATGTGGAGTCTTGTTAAAGCTTCCATGTAGTCATCCTGTAAATCAGTTTTGTCAGGAATGAATGACAAGGCTTTATCTCCGATAACTAATCCATTCTGCACAAGGACAAAATATTTCAGTGCAAGAACTTCGCTTCACTTCTGTAACTAAACAGAAGTACGGGAGAAAAGAATACCTTGGAGTGTCAGAAATCCAAGTAGCTTAGATTCTGTTATGTAAATTAAGTTGCATTAGCTATACACAGCTACACAAAACTAGGCTTCAGATCAAAAGTCAGGTTACACTCCAACTCCAGCAAAAGGTGGCAGCGATCTCCAAGACAGTCCTAATAACCAGGTAATCTCCCACGGTGCAATTCCTAAGTTCATTAGGAGCTACCAGATACCCAATAGTACCAGTACTCGAAACTGCGGTCAGAAGCGTGCTGTTATTAAATGAACTCCACAGCAGTCAACAGCAGAGGGAAGGGATAATTCAGACCATCTAGCACAGCAGGTTCTCACTAGTATTGTAGAAAAGGCAAATTCAGAGCGCTCGCCCCTTTCCACTCTCTCCACCAGGAGTGTATGTTCCAGTCACTTCACAAAACTAAAAACCACACATCAAAAGTTAGATTGCCAATGCATCCTTTCATACGTAACAGATGTTTTACAAACTTATCTAAAAATACAAACTATTAGCTTCTCGATCATTCCTCTCGCACACAAAGCAAAAAGAAAACTTCCTTGTGATTCTTAGTGATTTGTATTTACCTGGGCATCAATAACATATATTAGAGCACCTGTTCCTCTGAAGATCATCTCATAATCAAATGTTGGATCAAAAAAGTCCATCTGTCCAGGAAAATCCCATATTTGGAAATTTACAAATGAACTGTTGGAAATATCATCTTTGTAGATCTTGTTGGTACTTTCCAAGAACAGAGTCTCATTGGGAGACATTTTGTGAAACACCACCTGTTAAAAGAACACAAATAATAGTCTTGACTTTATCTTATTAGAAGAGATTGGTGAAAGTTCTGTGACTTGAATCTTACAAATAGGTGTCTCCATTCTAAAGTGCACAGTTTCCTTTTTTAGCAAATAGGCAGCTTCCTACATCAGCTAAGGCAATAACCTACCCTCGACCAGAACCGAGCAACCGAACACAGTTAAACATTTTCCCAAGTCTAAATAACACTACTGCCTACAGACACAGACATCCCAGTTACTCTTTCCTCCTTGCAAGTCTAACACAGCATTTTCAAATTCCGCTATATTAGCCAATGCAGATCTGGTATAAAGCCACCATGTTAATTAAGCAATGGCAAGCTTCTAAGAACAGTTCCTTTCCAGTCCTAGAAACTCCTAAAGGAAACTTCGCTTTTAGTCTGGTGTCAAGTGTTACGACACAATATAATCAGACTGTTCCTGAACTACAACAAAAGCGTACAAAAATAACATCTCAGTTTGAGAGACCCAAACAGCCAAGTAGTTTGCTATCTATTAACAACTGAAATACGTTCGCTGACCCTCTCCTTTCAAGTAACCTAAGGGAACAACGAAAGCTTTCACGCTAGTTGGTAAACGGTTTAGCTGCAGTGATGAAAAACATACTCATTGCTAGTACTCAAAAAAGCCTTGCTGGGATCGTAGCCCTTTCCTGAACAAATAGAACTAGCATGTAACCCCACAGCAAAAGCAGTCGGTTTCAACACCGAACACTGCGCTAAAGCAACTCAAACATATATTACAAAAGTCACTACAAACATAAAGATGTCAAACCCTAGGACTGCAAAAGGAAAGGTTTCCTATATGGCACTTGGTAATATCGCACAGCTACAGAAGTCACCCATTAAGGAGACTTAGCGCAACAACCTCTGTCAAAAAAACTGCAAGACAAACAACTCCACACCCAGCATAGTTAATGGATCATTTAGTGAGGTTCAAAGTCGTACATCGGCCTAGATTTTTTAAGGCCAAGGGAAAAAAAAAAATCAGTTCCTCAAGGCAAACATATGAGGAAGCCAGGATCTAAATGAGGTTTTAAACAGCAGGACATCTGTATGGAAAAGTAAGAACAGTTCTAGATACGTAGCAGCTGTATTGCAAGGACCAGAAATTCCTCAGGATTCGCAGTACAGATTTAAAGCATTCTGAAATCAACGTTCTCTCTTTGGAACTGAGCATCTCCCATAGGGAGCAGGACAGAATTAGCAAATCCAGCTTAAAGCAGACGAGTCTGCGAGAAGCAATGCCATCGTCCCCCTTTCCCCTCCTTCCCAAAGCAGCGCACTTCATTGAATCAATGTTCCCCATCTATTTTTTACACTAACAGGGGAACCAGGACACAGTTTTGATAAATTCCATTTCTATCACATAACATCTACTCTGACTCTTACTCGCTTTACACAGCTTCAATAAAGTAGATAAAAAGGCTGCGGAAACATCCGATTGGAAGCACGCAGCTAACACCAATGCCAAACAATTGGCAGAGCAAAGCTAGCAAAATTCTAAGAACCTGCTGAGTTTCCTCACTATGGCTTTTATCATTCCCAAGTGTTCCTTTTATATCTTCAACATCCAACGGTCTCATTGACTTCCTGGCAGATTTCCTGCTTTAACTGTATTTTAAGAACTTTTCACTGTCAGCTTGAGCACTCTTAGTAGTACACTCT